AAACTCGTGGATAATTTTAGCATAATGTTAACGGAAATTTGATATCACCAGTAAAGTTTTGCCAATTTAAAAATAAAATAGTTATGAAACATGATATATAATTTCTTTTCTTCGATATTTGCTAGTGGCACCTAATTTTAGTACACTGAATTAATTTTTCATTTTGCATAAAATACATGTAAATACGAAAGATGAAAAATGTAAAAAAGATTCGATATCTGTTTATGACTTCAATTATAAATTAATCATCCTCTAGTGATCTTGTTAAAGCTAGTGCTTTTGAACGTCCCCACTGTTGGTGCACAGGCCTTCCCTATTGATGGAATCCGATCAAATATGGAGAAGTGGACCATAATCCACGACTCAAGCCCAGCGTGGATTGGTGGATGTTCTAAATCTTAGAGGAGCTCAAAATAATACATTTCTGGTCACGCTTCTTATGACCGATACTTGCGACAGTTTCATACATTAAATTTTTTTATTATATTCTGAAACTTAACAAATTCAGTTATGTTAATATTGATAGCTAAACACAATACTACCCACTTTGATGATACTGACAACAGGTCTGATACATGTAACCAAGTACCAAAACAAACTAATCATACAGCCTAGAGGCTTATTTATAAGTTGCAACTATTGTATGCATTGTACTAAACATAATGATAAAACACCTACTCGCTTTTACATTGACCCACAATCGATTCGTGATATTAAAAATTATTTCCAAAATACCTCTTAAGGCTATGGTTATAGAGTTGAATACCGTTCAGAAGTAGTTTACTAGTCGTTTTGAAACCCACACCACCGCGTAACACGGCTCAATTATTGAACTAATTCACATTAACATCAATACATCTGTTTGTATAGAGTTAGAGAATTTGACAACCGTTGCCAATTGAAATTCAATCTTATCGCGATACGATCTAGTATAAAAATTAAGGATGTAACGGTGCGCCGTACCACCGTTTATTTCGTCCTAGGTATCATGTAAACTTTTTGTCTTTGATCTTCAACATATTTTTTTTTTATTATTCACCTTTCGTAATTTGAAATTTTGAGTAATCCAATATGCTCTTTATGAATGTCAGTTCGTAAGAAATTCCTCTGGTGCTGGTGAGAACATGATAATTTAACCATATAATAATAAAGTTATTATATTTTAAATGAGAAAATGTAAACGTAGTTCTATATAACTATTTTAATTACATATATTATTTAGGTAATCATACGAACTGCTTTTATATTAATTTATTGTTTGTTACTGTTGTTATTACCCTCTAATAAATCAAATTTTCAAGCTTAGTCAGCCTTTTATTCATTTGCCTAAGCATCGAACCAGACACAAGGATAAACTCCTTCTTCCGTAATACATTTATCTTTAATCGCTTATTTTGCTAATCGGCAAGACACCATCAATTAGTTCAATAAGTTCTATTATTATTATCAAAGACAAACTCGGGGCAAATAAAGACATGGCAAAAATAACTTTTGTTTTTATATCATTGTTATATATACTGAAGGTTTCATGAAGATTAAGCAACTTTCCAATGGCCGATTACATGATAGGTGACCGGAAGTTAATTATTTCAAGTTCTGCCCTTCCGGATACACACTTACTCAGATTGGGCCGCCATGGTGGATAATGGACCATTCTCACTGTGCAATTAGTTTGAATTTTGGTATATAACGTTGTGTGAAGAATCAAATTCTAAACTATTATTAGATTATATAAGACCGGTATTAACGCGATAAAATTTTCGATAGTTAGGTTTTTCACCTACCTAAAAATATAGGTAGGTGAAAAACCTAACTATCGAAAATTTTCAAGTTTTACTATACTATGTATAATATTTTAAGTCTTCTGTTATCTTAGTTAAAATTTAGTCTAATTTGTGCTAAAGTATTACTTCCATTAACATAATAATCGAAAGGAAGGAACCTAATTTATCAGATAAAGATAATATCAGATGTATGTGGGGCAACGGTTAACCAACGATCCTATGACAATGCATAGCACATGATTCACCTACCATGCCTTGCGCTGTGCCCTACACGACCCTTCAAGTGTTTAGGGTTAACGGCCTGTCTTTATGTTATATGCTTAGTTAGTTTGTTTCTTAAAAACACCCCTTTGAAGTGTTAAGATATCAATAAAACCTGTGCACTGCATTTAGTCTTGGCCGATCTACACTAAAGGTAAATGCCGTGTCACTCTAATTTATGAAGGATTGCTTAGAAAATGTTTGAAAGATTCGAATTATATTTTTATAGAATTCCCGATATTTCGCAGCTATTGCAGATACCTTGATCACGGAATAATATTAACTACGAATGTTTAAAGCAACTTAATGTTAGAAACCACCAACGCAAAAAAAAATATTAAACTTGGGTGAACACTAAAATTGTTTAAAAAAAAAGGTGAACAAGAATCCAAAAGCCGTTGTAATATTTATTTCTTAGGTAAAAATGCCTTTACCGAATTCAGTCTATTTACCTAGTAGACTTCTCACATACTTCTTCGAAATTCAAATATCTATTCCCCTAAAATGTCATGGCAGTTAAGAAAAAATAATAACCGAGCAATATCCTCATGTAGCGTATGTTAGTACAATATTTTATTGGTGTTATTTGTTGCATTGCGGCGTACAGTCGTGAGGTCGTGCAGTCATTTCGGGCGTCGAAAGCCGATTGAATTGTTCCGAAGGGTCTACCGGAGGTGGCATTCAGTATCTGCGACTTTATCCGACACGATGTTAACCGATACCGATCGACTTGCTGACGGATCGACTTTATCGGAAAAGCAAATATTCAGATAGCAAATTATGCAAGTTAATATATGTCGGTGTAATCTTAATAAATAAACTTTAGTTACTCCTGATAATGATACATCAAAGTCGATCTCCGTAGCCGAGTTATTCACACGTTTACTTGAAGATCCCGCCATATCTGAGGTCCCTGGTTCAATTCCTAAGATAATAAAAAAGATGATTCTTTTATCTTGTTGTTTTTGAGAAGTTCTAACACATAACGATGTTGTCTATTAATAATTATTTATTTATGAAATAACTTAAGCTGTCTCAAGCAGCTTTTTTGTTTCATAACATGCTACGCCTTAATCGCATTAGAAATACGACCCAATCAATTAAACTAGTCCCATTCATTTACTTCCATTATTGGCTAATGCTGTTTACATTACCCAGTCGGACTAAACGCTTATTGCGCTCAAAAAAGCCCGCTGATAAGCTCAAGCGACGCTTAATTCAGTCACTGGTGTATAATGCATCGCGCCTGCCGCTCGCATAGCATCGCTCATTTCGAAATAGAAACACGTCCCGAGCACGCCGCTGTGTAGGTGCGATCCCAGTTGGCAAACTGTATTAATTGGTATTGCCCTTGTTTTAGTTTTAAAAGCTTTTTATAAGTTATAAATTATGTTATTAAAAATTACTGCGATGCTGTTATGAAATTGCTATCTCGTTACAATAATATCTAACCTTTGTTAAAAATTTTGTTTAAAAAATACTAATGCTATTGGTAATATTTATTTCGGGTGCAGAACTTGTTAAATGTGAATTTGAATTGTATCATACGCTCAATTATTTGTAATACAATCAAAATGTTTATAGTACATTACAAATACAGTATGCAATTAGAAATTTGAAAGCGTTCACTTTATTTCTATTTATGTGCAAAGTTACTGCAGTGTGTACTATTTGTAAAAGTCGCACAAACTGAATAAAACTTCATTAATAATGAGTCCTAATGTATAGAGATGATTAATAGCTAATTCGTATATAAAAGAGTGACACGATTAATGGCATTTAGGAAGGCACCGCCGAAAGGCGATTGGTCGCGGGCGCCCAGGGCGCGTCGCAGCCGCGCGCACTGTTTAATTTTCAATTTAGATCGCAATTTGCGATGCGGCTCGCCACACGCCCAAACTCGCATCACTCCAACGGATAGATTTATGCGGCCGACACACAACTACACCATCCACCCCGCGAATATATTAAAAGAAATTAACTCGCATAAGTTACGACCGGCCGACCGGATCACCGATAAGACTTAATGAAAATTGGGCCTTTTTTAACAAATTCGTCAAGTGCAGGCGGGAGCGCGCCCGATAAGCGGAATTGATCTGTCCGCGTAACTAATTGGTGTAGCGAGTTTTCACGATATAGCGCTTGTTTTAACGTAAATTAAAATTGACAACAACCGAAGAGTTTATTGACTTTAGCTTCATATGTCACCAGCCTTAACACAATGATGTATTAAACATATCGTTGAAACATATTTATGGGTCGAATAGCCTTTTTGCAATGCGCGACATGATTATTCCAGTGCACAACTCGTTACTTACGTTTGATAGAGCCTGAGAATAATTTACGTTCGAAATGGCATCTAGTTTTTTCAGCGACTACCTATGTCGAGGTAACAAGCGGCTTGATTAATTTCTACTGTAGAAAACAGCGTGCCGGTTATGAAAAGTTTTTTTTTGTAGAACTGCAATCTATAGATGTGGTTCTTCAATTTACAAATATGGTATTGGCACAATAAGGCAGCAATGAGATAAAATTATCACTCGGCACGTTGTACCCGGCAATGTGCTGACATTTCGTTGGCATTCCAGCGCCAGCGCAAAGCCATAATTTAATCAAATATCACAAATTACCAGTAGTAACGCGCCTACTTTCACTTCGAACAGATTAGAGGCGAGATTTTGGAATGGCGGGAAACTCATTTATCAAATTACAAGTGTTAATAACGCTATTTACAGGTCAATCTCGTTGGAAACTGCGGAGACGACTCAACCGTGAGAACTGTACAATGCAAAAGTAAGTCAAAAGATAGGTAACAAAAACATTTAATAATATCTGTTATTAAAAGTTTTTGTTGTGATAAAAGTGAAATATGTATAGAATGACCGTCTTAATGAACTTGAACAATGGGAATACATTACAGATGACATTAATGAGCTTTCCAAAAAAGTGGCTTACCTTTAAAATGCAGCTGCCGACGGCTTCATTCTCCGGCACGGTGACGTTGTAGAAGGACTGGTCGAAGATAGGTTCGTTGTCGTTCACATCGAGCACTGTCACTGTAAGGGTAGCGGTGGAGGAAAGGGAAGGGTTGCCACGGTCTCGTGCCACTATCGTCAACTTAGGCATAGGATTTGTCTCGCAGTCTACTCGCGAACGTGTCGTCACTAACCCTGAACGTTCATCTATCGAGAACCACTCTGATTGCGGAGACGGCAACAGAGAGTATCGGATCTCGGAGTTCTCACCCTCGTCCGCGTCTGTCGCTGACACCTGAACTACTGGGGTACCTGGTGCCGCTGCCTCTGGTACACTTGCTTTATATTCACTCTCAACGAACACCGGCTCATTATCATTAACATCAGTCACCCGGAGACTGATCTCTCTGGACGCATGTAAGGGCGGAGATCCTTTATCCGTCGCGACCACATTTAGCGTATAAGAAGATTGCGACTCACGATCTAAAGGTAAAGCTACCACGACTAAATAGATAATGTTGTCATGTGTCCTTAAATCAAAATGGCCGTCACCTCCGCTAAGGGTAACATTAACATTTGAATATTCAGTCTTAGAGTCCGGATCGTGAACTGATATTCGAGCCACGAACTCATCGAGCTGCGCTGACTCTGATATCTTTGGAGTCGCATCGTCACTGAGGAAGATCACGTCTATCGTCGGCTGATTATCATTTACGTCCGTGACTCGTATTGAGACAAAAGCTGTCGTTTCTAATGGCTGAGCACCTTTGTCTCTCGCCACCACGACTAACTCATGCAATTCTTTTGTTTCGAAATCTAAAACTTTGTTCACGGTTACCTCTCCTGTTTCAGGGTCAATTTTGAACATATTCTCCTTGTCACTCTGTCGCCTATTTATTGAATATTCTATTTGGCCATTCTCGCCTGAGTCGGCATCAGTGGCCGACACCTTTAGAACCGTTGTGCCTACTGTCGCATTCTCTGCTATGGTTGCTGAATAGACGCTCTCTGCGAATTCTGGTGGGTTATCATTTACATCTAATATTGTTATATTTACAGTCATCGTCCCTCTTAAAGGCGGATTACCACCATCTAACGCTTCTATTACTAACTCGTAATGATCCGTAGTTTCCCTATCTAAGAACCCGTTGATTTGAAGATCCAAATATAGGACTCCATCTCTTTCCCTATGAGAAGACAATCTGAAAGCATTATCGGTGTTCCCTGACACTATGTTGTATCTTTGCGTATTATAGATACCCAAATCCCGATCTTTTGCAGGATTGAGTTTCCTCTTCACATCTCTAGGAGTGTTCTCTGAGAACTCAACGTTCATGACAGGTGTGGGGAAGATAGGTTCATTATCATTTTCGTCTAGCACTCTTACGACAACTCGAATGTTGTCTCCGCTGGCAGGAATCGCGACTAGTGCGTAGTGGTCCCTGGTTTCACGGTCAAGTTTAACTCGGGTTCTAATTTCTCCTGTATGCGGATCGACTCTAAGATCATCGTCAACAGCACTGCCGGGGACTGGGACAAGAGTATAAGGGGGTGCGGCATCGGGGAGTTCGTCGCCAAGATGGCCGACTAACGTGCCAGCAGCGGCGTTCTCACGGACGGCGAATTCGCGAACGTGTTCCGCGCTCGCTACCGCCACCACCAACGCCAACAGCGTCACCGCACGCCACATCACGCTGTCGAGGTCACCGTACGCACATTGTCACTGACACACCTGAGAAATAATAAAACCAAGTTACAATGACAACATCTAAAATCCTGCATACGTACAAAAAGTGAATATCAAGGAAGTAATGCTATCAACAAACTATATTCTACGTGTAATGATACCCACAGCGCTCATTAATTATATTTCGAAAATAATAAATAAAATACCAGAGATCACTGTCGTTCGAGAAACTTGTTTTTGCGCTCGTCTCCTCTCGTACGCCTTTTTCTAAATGAGTCGTGATGTGCGTAAACAAGTTAATATATAAAACATTATTACTAGTATGTAATTAGTCTCAACTCGACAGAGGAATTTCGTTTTGTGTTGCTACAGTGGAGTGCAATCTTTTATTAACCTTGATTACAAGTAATGAAATTATTTTAAAGCGCCTATGTACCACTATGATGTCTCATATTTCTCCGAATTGCAATCCATATTCATAAGATTATAAAAAAATATGTAAACTGCCACAATCGTCCAGACCCGAGAATTTATGTATGGCAAGTTCTTTTTCTAGGTTGACCGTGTCATCAAACCAGGACGAACACAATATCGCTATTACTATATCAGTGTTTCTTACGCTCTCTAACGGCATAGAAATAAGGTCTAAAACTGAAAACTACCCGATTTCTATTCTGTTTCCTACTGGTCTTCAATAATCTCAGACACGGTTACCAAACATGTTTATCTTCTTTATGAAAAATGCTTAAAAAATCGACTTTGTCCCTGGCACTCTGAGATCGGACTCGAACCCAGAACCTATCGCAATCCAGGCGACAACTCTTGTATTGCTAATGATTACTCTTTATGGCGAAAGGTCATAAGTTCGAGTTGGATTTTTAAGCATATATAACAAATATTGTCCTTAAATCCTTCTCATATAGAAAGTTCCTATGTTTTTATATCTTCATTTGTAACCACATAACACAATTTTAAATCTCTCTAAAAAGAAATCTTAAGAATTACAATTCAAAAATGACATCAGTCCCTCACTTCAAATCATTGCCTATTAATAAACTAAATAGCGACCATAGTTTTAGGCGACAATGCAAATTAGTCGTCCTATACTGACACAACCGTTAATACTCAATAAATCTTCATCTCCGCAAGATAAAATAACCAGTTCAGATGTTGGATTCAAGATGTGCTTTATAACGACGTGAATAATGCAATTCAAATGATAAACTGACGCTGAGTGCCTTCTAACTTTAACAGTACCTTAAGGTAAAGGGTACATGTGACAAAATGAGGTTCATCTTTTTTAAAATAATGTTCTTATCCTATTAATATTATAATTGTGAAAGTTTCTTTGTTTGGATGTTTGTCCGTCAATCGCGCCGAAACTACTGAACGGATTTTGATGTAATTTGGTATATAGATAGGGTATTAGCTGACTTATATAATAGGATACTTTTTACCCCACTAAACATTTCCGTGAAGCACTCGTGAAGCCGTTAGCGAAAGCTAGTTTCTAATATAGGTATGAACAACCATATTGTTTTAAAATACAGTTTATATTGAAATAATTATCTCAAATGGTTAAATCTTCATACGCATAGTATTACTAGACATAAAAATTGTGTCCAAAACAAAACAAGTGACGTATACATAATGATGTATACGCCATAATAGGGCATATGCAGAATCCAAAGCTGTCCTTTTATATATTTTATTATTATTTTGCACAATAAAAAAATCAATGAATAGGGTAATTTGTTTTAGACTTTAATTAACCTTTTTATTTCTTTGAGTACATTTTATAAATTGCTCAGATCATTGCTCATTTACTTGTAAAGCTTACTTAGCTGTTATATATTTATCAATTAACTAGTTTTAGGTATAGCACTAAAAAAAACTACAATAGCTGATCTTTTGTAGTTTTTTTTTTCTGTAAGATAAATATCAACAATGGCAATAATACTAAAATATATCAGTTTAATGCTGGCTTTAATCCGTTTTATAAACCTCAAGCTTACATCTCTGTACCTATGAACTTGACCTAGTACACAGTTTCACTAAAGTGGAACATCTCTTTAAGCCTGCCGAGATTACACTACTAATATCTGTAAGTGAGCAAAACACAGCCAGAATTGAATGTCTTCAATCATCCATCACCTTCTATAAACGTTCCTATCACATAGGCCCAATCTAGATTAGTGAGTGTTAATGCCTTCATTTACATCTGGCAATAACTTATTAATACCTTCCAAAAGCATATACGAATTTCAGTTAATAAGTTGACAAAGCTTTGCGAATGTAACTTAACTTTTCCAATCGCATACCAAATGCGCTCATCAAATAGTATTCTATGTGAATAAATAAGAGTCGGGGTGGTAACACAAATACTCCAAGTAAACACAATCGCATAATAATAGCAGGTAGAAATTTAGTGGCCGACAAAAGAGACTTATTTCAAAATTATGTACACTTAACTAAAAGGAATCTTTTCCTTATGTTGACGACGTATTTAAATACTTAGAAATATTATCTTTATATCTAATAAATTAGCTTCAACGATAATATATGTATTTTTAGGTTGTTTTTTTGTATGTAGTATATTATTGTAGTCTTTTATTATTTATGTAGAGACTAAATAAAACTAATAGAAATAAAAATCTCAGTGATTTTTTTCTTCAAAATACATAAATAAAATAAAAGACTTTTATATACTCTCAAATACAGAAGAAAGCTCACAATATACATAAGTTTAAAATAAATTCTGCTATTTGCCATAATTCATAGTTTACAATAATTTAATATTTTTACACTAAATACTGAACATTCAAAATGTTAATTATGATATAATACCGTCGTAAGTAAAGATACGACACCTTATTAGAATAAAATTATAACTTTATATGGACACGATAGAGATTTGATTTACATGAATTAAAAAATCGGCGATTGAACTTAAAAGATATACATATTCTATTTATTTTTGTTACTATTATTCTACTGAAAGAGACTAGTTGCCTAGAAGAGATATTTTTACACGCAATAAAGTTTATTATTAATAACTGTTTGATTATTAATATTAATGTAAAAAAAGGAGATGTATTTCAATTATAAAAATTATTTTCCCCTTTTTAGTTGATTTCATACTTTGTAAACTACCTAAATACTGACCTCATCAAACAACTAAAATTGTGACGTATAAAATATACATTTAACGATGTCCCGCGTCTCAACAGGACGTACGTCGAGAAATTCGCATAATTACCTACCTACACAACCCAAATATTATAACTTAAAGGGTTATCTCCCAATCTAAAGTTCGACATTATCAGTTAACAAGTCCGCCCCGCGACTGCGCTCGTAAACAAACGATTTTATTAGAGTAACATCGCGGAGTTGAATCTAGATTAGCTTTCGTAAATACTTCACGAAAACTGGTTTACGAACGTTCGTGATTCGACATACGGGATATAATTCACGAAAATTATAGCATTTTTATTAAGCTACCACCAAATGTGTCATTCTTGTTTCTTACATCTGCACACACTGTACATTTTAAAACCGTTTAAAGTTACACATTATAAGGTTGATAAATAAATATTAATTTATTAAATTTATATGTTAGTTCCTAAATATTTTCCTTTTTATTTAGACTTATATTTTTTCTTTTGTATTTCTCTTAACTGTAATAAAGATTTTATCACACAAATTAAAAAACGGCCAAGAGCGAGGACTCTCGCGAAGAGAGTTCCGCACAAATATTAATTTTAAGTTCTATATTTTTAGGCGGGACCCTAAAAAGTGATTTCATAAACTATTACTATTATTTTAACATTTACAACGATAAATGCACAAAAGGTAGAAATAATACACTGTAAAGAAAGAACTACATTCCTACATAGCTAATAATAAGTAGTTTTTAATAGTAAAAAAATTTCAAATTTATCATTTTTATGTTTCTACAATTTTGCCAACAAGAAAAATTTGTCGTGTTTTTCCCATAGACAAGAAATAAAATAATTAAAAAAAAAACAATTGCCCACGTTTCCGGCAACATAAAAAAAATGTCACGTTTAAAAAACGAAAGCAAAACGTTCCCGCCTCGCGAAAACGCTATAACAATAACGTGTGAGAGACGCAAGAAAAACTCGATTTCTAAACGGAATTAGCGGGAAATATGTCACGCATGCGCGGTCCGGCGGCGGAGATCAAAAATTCCGAATTTCGAACGCGGACGTAACTATGCGGGGGCACATGAGTTATGGGTCGCGGGAGGCGCGTCCGAATACCGAAATTCAAATTATGCCTCACGTTTTTTTTATTGTTGCCTAACCGGGACACTTTTCCCTGGCTAATTAAGCTTTCGTGGATTTTTAATGGTGCCAAGTGTTTTTATGTGTGCCACCGACACTTTTTTCTTCATAAAGAAACATTTACGATTGAAAAATTGTTATAGTAAATAAAAAGGGTACGTTATTGAATTTTAGATCACTAGTTGGTTTCCCGCAATTTTGCCCGCCTAAATTATAACTTATATCAAGCCTCATACGATTTTCTTTAAATTGGTCCAGTCTTTCTTTATAATATTACCTATAAAAAGAAGACCCTTGAAGGTATTGAAATTAGTGTATACCTAAATTATGTTAGGTTTTCTTAGGACCACGTTTTATAGTCTTTGTTGAAAAACCTACGCTCAAATTATAGTACATGTTTCTACTATTGATTGAGTGCAGAAATGCAATTGAAACGTATGCTTGTTCATTTTTAGAAATAGCAATATGGGTCTTCTTGAGCAACACTATCTTACAAAAGAATAATACACTTAGAAAGTACATATTATAACCAGATAGAAATTAAAGCAATGTTATTTGTTTAAGGTTTCTTCTTGTTATTAGCAGCTAATCATTATATTTAATCAGAAGCAAAATCTCCAGAAACTGTATATAATGCTTCATATACATTATTTACATTTATTATTTGTGGAAACTTGTAATTGGCTTTATTAAGTTTAAAGAGTTTTTATATTTTTTTCTTCAGCTGTAAGTTTTCCA